AAACCCAGGACTCCACTGCCTGCCTTGCTGTTGCCAGAAACTTCAGTGCACATCTTCTAGTATATATCCTATTGTCCATCAGAAAAAACTCACCTTTAAGAAGGAACGCAGTGACAACCATATTTTAATGTTCTCCACCTTTTTGAGTCTGAAATGAGGTATTTCATATTTCCTAGCTTTCCTGGCAGAAGTAATATGGCTGAAGAGTTTTGCAAATAAAAATCTCTAGAAAAGGTTTAGGGGGAAAAAAATGACAAAATGAAATGTACACGTGTCTCTATGTGTGTGTGCATATTAAATGTCAACAATATTCCTAACAGACAAAAAAAAAAAAAAACCAAAACACGTTAGCAAGAGTGAAATTCTAATCAGAGATCGCTAAAATGGGCAGTCAAAAAAAAATTTCATTAATAGCTCATCACCCTGTTGCTTCCAAAGCATGTAATAATAGATGGCTTCACAACATGGGTCACTTTTCACATGTGCAAGGAGTAATCTTTAGAGACACCCAAAGAATGATTAGAGTTTGTGATCCCCAACTTTACAAATTCAAATGTTTATACAGGATTCTGGCTTACTTTCAAATTATATTTCCATTCAAAAGCAAACATCTTGTGCATATCACCAATATATTAAGTCCTCAATCCATAACTCTTATCAAATTTCAATACATGTATTTCTTACTTGGCCATTTTTTCACAAAAACATCATTTTGAGAATGACTATGTATGCTATGGATAAAAAACAGCAAAGGCCAATTTGCATTGCAAATGCCAAGCAATCAGCTGGGCTTACTCACTGGTTAAGCCACTTACATAAGGGGCTCAGCAAAATGTTAGATTACAACATGTAATGTGTAAGTAGTCAATAACACAAATGTTAAATCCACAAATACAAAAATCCACTTATCAATCCCTTACTGCCCACATTAACTTCTGGAAAGAGACCAAACCAAAAGGACAAAAGCCAACTCGATGGAATGCCATATACAAAAACAGAGGTAAAACACTTGGCATACTTCTCCACTGACCTGTTTATACGTTCTCTCTGCCACACACATCATAAAAAAAAACATCCAAGTAAGACACAGTCTTTCAAAAAAATTAATTATAGACAAAATGACAACAGGGGTAACAGGCGGTGCCCCACAAAAGAGAGTCAAGATCTCCTCTGTTGAAATGGACTTCAGCTGGTCCAGGCTCTTCTCACGGAAAAGTCGATGTAAAAAAGGGAAAAACGCTAATCCAATGGTGACAGCGTTTCCCAGCATCTGGTAACCTACTCCTTGCTGATACGCATTAACCTGGATGTAAATTAAAATTTCCATCATTAGTACATAAACGGAGTACAAAGCAGTATTTACCAAATACCATTTAGACTGTTAAAAACACATTTTAAAAGTACAAGTAAAAATGACATACAGATTTGTGACTTTTAAGTCTTATTAAAAATTAGGCTTAAATGAGATAAAGAACGGTTGTAAAATACATCTGAACAACTGATCACACTAACAGAGACCAAGTGTAACCAATTTTTTTTTTTTTTTTTTGAGTTGGAGTCTCACTCTGTCGCCCAGACTGGAGTGCAGTGGCCGCTCCCGGCCACCGCAGCCTCGACCTGCTGGGCTCCGGCGATCCTTCCGCCTCAGCCTTCCAAGTAGCTGGAATTACAGGCATGCGCTACCACGCCCGGCTGATTTTTTTGATTTATTGTAGAGATGAGGTCTCGCTGCCCAGGCGGGTCTCGAACCCGCGGGCTCAGGCAATCCACTCACCTCAGCCTCCCAAAGGCGCGGGATTACAGGCTGAGCCACCGGGCCCGGCTTGTAACCAATTTTTAAAAATATACTATTGAGTAGATTCTGACTATCAAATTAAATACATACATACATATAAATATGTGTGTGTTTCAAAAGCAGAGGTCTATTGCTTTAGTCACGAAGTAGAATCTAATAAAATAGCTCCTAATCACTAAGTATGTGTTTTGAAAACTCTGGAAGCTCACTCAGGCTTACCCTACTCATGATGATGCCGCTTATTTCCAGCACAGACATATCCATCTTTTTGCACTCATTCCCTTCCCAGATTATTGCACTAACTCGATCAGAGGCGGGACTTGAGTTCTGAAGCCAGAATAAATGGTTCTGAGAAGAAAAATATACAACTGTTTCCATCCACTCCTTTCGCCTGTCAGTTTTTTTCTTTCCCTTTGCCCAGGTCCCAGGTTACATTTGCCAACCTTCAGTCTCATCAGGCTACTCTCTCGCACACACAGCTCTGATCGCACCAATAACCACCTCTGTGAAGCTGACTTCTGGTCTCTCTTTCCTTTCTGCCTTCCGGTCTTTCCTTCCTTCCTTTCTTTTTAAGGCAGGGTCTTGCTATGTGGTCCAAGCTGGTCTCAAACTCCTGGGTGCACGTGATCCTCCCACCTCAGCCTCCTGAGTACTTAGGACCACAGGTGCTTGCCGCTGCACCTATCCAGGTACTTTTTTCTTTTTTTAGTTTTTTTGATTTTTTTAGTTGGAGTCTCACTCTGTCACCCAGGCTGGAATGCAGTGGCACGCTCACGGCCATCCCAGCATCGACTGGCTGTGCTCCGGCGATCCTTCTGCCTCCGCCTTCCAAGTAGCCAGAACTACAGGTGCGCACTACCATGCCTGGCTAATTTTTTGACTTATTGTAGAGATGAAGTCTTGTCACGTTGCCCAGGCTGTTCTCAAACCCGTGGGCTCAGGCAATCCCCTCATCTCGGCCTCCCAAAGTGCTGGGATGAAAGGCTTGAACCACCACGCCTGGTCAGTACTTTTATCTTTACTAAGCCCCCTTCTTACCTGGAGACTAAATGTCTTCTACAGTGAGAAGAGGTAGGAGTTCATAATCTCCAAAGTTGTTTCCCTCTCTAAAGGTATGGAAGTGAGGATACACTGAGTGTATTCATGGGATTTTCAGGAAGGAAGTATTTCTAGAGCAATAAAACTGCACAGGGAGCAGCCGGACGTAAAGAGAGGTGCTGAGAGGCCTCACGTACCACACGGAGGGCTGAGGAGTTAAGCCCGCCTCGGTCTAACCGGGAGGCAGAAAATCAGTGAGGCTTGGAAACGTAGCAGCTCATGCTCAATGGCAGACAGGCACGGCAAAAACAGCTCCTGCCTCCTCCAGCGGGCAGGTCTTACTCTCGAGAGCAGCTCAAGTCCCGCTCACCAATACGGTCCTCTCTGGCAGCCACAACCTCATGAATTTTGCCCTTCTCTGAAATTAAAAACCCTCATCATCTGTATCAGACAAATTAGCATCTTGTTGTCTTGTGCATTTAGAGTGTCCTCTACTAATTTTCTATATGGTCATCTTGTCCCTAAACAAAAATATAAGTTTCTAGAAAAGGACCATGTGGCATATTTTTTCTTCTTCTACCACAATGCTGAGCACAATGCCAGTGAGCATTTACTGATCTTGTTCACTGGTTCACTGGTTCATCCAACAAACATTTATGAAGCACCTACTGTATAGCACACACCACCAATAAAATGGAGAACAAGACAGATGTCCTTGCTGTCAAGGAACTTAGGGACTTCTGAGGGAGACACAGTTAAATAAAGTTACTCTGTGGCCTGGTGAAGAAAGGACAGAGTGCTTCAGGAACATATCGGAAAGGCTTCCTGAAGGAAGCATCGCTCCAGCCAAGGCCTGTCCGAAAGACAAGGTGAGCCAAAGGCGTGGGCACTGGAGAAAAGCATGTCCCAGGCAAAACCACCAGGACGTGTGAAGGCCCAGAAGCACATGAAGAAGTTCAGTCGAGCTGACAAACGCCACGTGAGGAGCAAGGAGCGGACGGTCAGGATGAGATCATCACAGCAAACCCAGCTCAGATGCAAGTAATCCAGAAGGAAGAGCAGAAGGATTTCAAAGAGAATCAGGGCATTATCAGGTCTGTATTTCAGAGGTTCACTCTGGCTGGAGTGAGGAAAACTGAAGAAACAGAGGCAAGGCTTAGATTGCCGTTGTAATGACAGACAAGAGATGACGGCCTGACCAGGAGGGTGGACACAGAAGGACAGATGCAGATATTCAGACAGCTGAATCGAGAGAGCTTGACAGCTGGTTAACGGCAGAGAGAGTAGGGTCAAGAATGACCAAGGTTTCCGCCTTGGGAGGTTAATGACAGTCTTCAGAAATATGGGGAATAAAAGAAGAGGAACAGGTTAGGTAGGGGGTTGGGAAATGATGAATTCCACTTGGCACAGTGAGTTTACCACACCCAATTATTTTATATACGTCTTAAAACTGCAAATCCCAAAAGCTACGGGAGGTCAAGGTCATCATGCTCTATGCATAACTACTGAAGGTTACATAATGTAGATGAATCTTCAGATTAAATTGAAAGAATATTTAGACTCAAACTTCAATGGCAACACTGGAGAAAGTGGTGTGAAACTTTAATGAGAAAAAGGTACATTTCTAACTAGTTTTTAAAAAATTGTATACATTTAATGAAGTATGTGTTTTCATGAAAATCTGTTACTGAAATTAATGGTATCTTAGAATCAAGAAAATTCAGTAATTAAGCAACTGTATACCTCTCATCCACTGTTTGCAAGATATGAAAACATTCAGTCTATAAAGAACAAAAACTAAGAAGACTCATGATCACTGTCATTAAACATGTGAGAGGCTGATATGGGAACAGTTTCCTAGTCGTCTACTCTAGCCAGCAGTGATATAACAAGCACTCTAGCTCCAGAAGTGTTTAAGACAAGGCAACCAAACATCTAAGAGAGACATTAATAATAATGCTAATATTTATTGGGTGCTCAGTCCTGCCAAGCACTATGCACACACTTCATGGTATCTCATCAGCTAGTTCACAACATCCCTAAGAAGTAAGAACAATTATTTCCACATGACAGATGGTAAAAATAGTTCTACAATTGTAGAGTGAATCCCTATGTTGGTTGGAAGGTTGAAATATCTTCTAAGAGCTATCTGGTTTTATGATATTAATATAAAACCTGAAATTAAAAACATCACTTGATTTATACATTACTAGAGAAGCAAGCAATGCTGTTTCCTAGTGACTCATGTACAATACTGTGATGTTTATGAAAATAGAAGGCAAGCACACCAGTCAAACAACTGTGCTCATATAAAATGATAACATTAAGGATCATTCTGAGAAAAACAATGAGAAAAGGTCACACGAAGAAAAATGTAGGTCAGAGCATCTCTAATTACTTCTCCCTAAATTCTAACCCCAACACCTTCACTTTCAAGTTGTGCTCAGCTTCCTCACCTCAAACTCAGGGATAACAGCATCTACCTTATAGGATTACTGAGAAGTTAAATGAGATAACAAAGCACCTGACACATGATAAAAACACAATAAATTAGCAGCTATTACCACGATGCCGTCACAGACCTGCTGGAAAACATCCTCTTTGGGGTCGCGCTTGGTCCCTGAGTGGAGAGTATTCACATGGGCTCCCTCACTGTCACTGGTGACAGACGACCGGCACTCCGGACCATGCAGCAGGTCGTCCCACAACATATCCTCAGTCTCCGAGTCGTGGCGGGTGCTTTCTGAGTCTCTTCTTGACATATTCAGGCTGCGAGAGCCACCACCCACACCAGACCTGGAGCCCTTACAAGGAAATCAAAAAGCAAAAACAAAGTCGTTCATCCTTTTAAAAAATTATCTATCTGAAATAAAATGAAAACAAGCTATCTACAGCAATGGCTGGTGAGCCTTCAAAAGTCAATCACCATGTGTTCGTTTAGAGGCCTCACCTAACAAAAAACACTTTAATACTTAAATGTTAAATTCTGAGGTCTCTGGAGAGTAGGACTTTATCTTATTTTATTTTATTTTTTGAGTTGGAGTCTCACTCTGTCGGCCAGACTGGAGTGCAGTGGCCGTTCCCGGCCACCGCAGCCTCGACCTGCCAGGCTCCGGAGAGCCTTCTGCCTCAGCCTTCCGCCTCAGCGTGCACTACCACGCCCGGTTAATTTTTGATTTATTGTAGAGACGAGGTCTCGCCAAGTTGCCCAAGTGGGTCTCGAACCCACGGGCTCAGGCAATCTACTTACCTCAGCCTCCCAAAGCACGGGATTATATGAGCCACCAAGCCTGGCTAAAATAATTTTCTTTTTTTTTTGAGTTGGAGTCTCACTCTGTCGCCCAGACTGGAGTGCAGTGACATGCTCCTGGCCACCGCAGCCTCGACCTGCTGGGCTCCGGCGATCCTTCCTCCTCAGCCTTCCGAGTAGCTGGAACTACAGGCGCACGCTACCACGCCCGGCTAAT